ACATGTGGTTAAAATACTTTGTTCATGAACCTTTTATTAGCCCAATTAAACTATTTAAGTCCAGTCCAGTCCGTCAAGTCAGTTGTGTTTAAAAATACCGAATCACCCCATTTCTCCTTAACCTTTGCTCAAATCCACTTCAGGAGTCTGTGTTTTGATGCTAGGGGCGTCCCCCTTTCCGGGAATCTGTACACATTACAACAAAGAAAGAGAAAAATACTTTTGTTAAACTGATATACACAAGTGCAATGTCGTTTTGTAGGCTTCTGATTTATTCCACTTTTCAAATGTCAATGTGATTAACCTAAATGATCCTTTAAACGCTTCAGACTTACTACTGGCTTTTTGCTGTTCATTTTAAATATAAAACCCTAAGAAGTTAGTTTTGTATATTTTGTAATGATCTAGTCATTATATGAACTGTTTCCTGCTAAGAGCAGCCTTCACCTTCCCCCTTTTTGAAACAGTTTTCTGTTTCAAATCTGAAGTATTACCGGCTGTAATTTACTAACGCCCAGTCTGAGTATTAGTTTCAGAAATATAAAATATGGTGTAGTTTCAATCTTCCCCCTACTGTTATTCAATCCAGGTTTTGCAAAAGCAAAAAAAAAAAAAAAAAAATAGCCAAATATAACCCAAGCTCTCATATAATTTTCCAAAGAATTAACCATTAAATAAATTTCATCCCTTGTATCAAACCAGACCCACCAAATAAGCTCCTTCAAGGCAAAGACAATCATTTAGTATTACTTTAGAAAACATTAGTGAACTCCATCCAAATTAGGTCTCAGGTATAGGTTTCTCTGGAATGAGACTTCGTGACCTGTATAAACGAAAAGTTAAAAAGTCAATATTTTGCTCAGGGGTGAGGAGCATTATTCATCGTCCTATTAGGTTTAGAGGTAATAAAACAATTTTCATCTCAGAGCAATTGGAAAAGGGCAAATCATCTAGCAAACCCACAGTAGTACTTCTGTGTCATGTTTTGGCACCTGTCTTAAAATGAGCCTATGTGAGTGATTATCATCAAAGCCCACTGCAGTTTTGATCAAGACACCAAGGTGCTCGGATGACCATCACAGACCAAATGTGGGCTTGACACCTCCGTTAGGCTGCAGTTGTCGTTAGTGACCTTGGACAGATGGACCACCAGCCTTTCTGTCTTCAGTTTGTCTCCCTTGGTCTGGAGACCAGTTCAGCTTTGTGCAGCAGTGCATAGCTCAGCATACAGCGATACTTGACTGGATGTTCCCACTGTTGACAAAATCCAGGACCCCCTCTGGTCAGTTAATTCAGTTTGTTGTTGGACTGATAGATCTTTGCTTTGTTTCCATAGTGAAAAGTTATATTGCTTGGCTGACAATTTCTTTGTTGTTGTGTCAGTGGTGCTCGATTGATAGTTTCTTTGAACCGTCCCATTGGTCAGTTTCCCAGACCCAACTTCAGCGTCCACCTGAACACATCTGGTATCCGATCCGGCACCCAGCACTAGAGGGTCATGATCACAACTCAGATGGATGCTGTATGTATCTGAAGACTACTTGTATGTGTTTTGTGGGCCTAGCCAGACTCACCTCCCCAATCCACAGCTCTGTCTTCTCAGGCTGCTGAGAAGGGAAAATAAACAATCCAATTATTAAAAGTCTGATTCAACATTAATCCTCTGTTATCAACATTAGTCATCTGTTAGCAAGTTCTATTCTGGGACCACAGCGTTTACCTTCAACAGAGTCATTCTGGTGTCCTGGATTGCACAACAGATGTTTTAAACGCTCAATTACATAAGAATGAAAACTTTCATCAAACACTGCACAATCCAATTCCTTACGCCTACAGCATAAAATATTCCATTCAAACTAATGTCTTCCATCTTTTAGAATATGTGTTTTGACTCACCACCTGACAGTGAGGACCACTCTCAGGTCTACATTATCCATTTAGACTTTGTAAAGGTTTAGGCAGCATGATAATATGTAATCACTGCTTGTTATACTTGTGTTTCAGTTCAGTTGAAGTCACCCTGCCCCCATCTTG